TAAATCTCGTGATTTAAACCATTGTTTTAAAACAAGTCATGTGATTTAAAATATCATTAAAATATTGATATTACATATTAATATAATTAATTGTGTAATTTCATACTCATTCGACTATGTTTTAAAACGTTTTATAGTAGTTTAAATCAAACAATCGTATTTTAAAAAAATTTCATCCTTAATGTTAATAAGATAAACTTACATAAAATCTTTGTTAAAATACGTTCCAATATCATAGCCAAAATGATGAAATTCTTCATCCTGGGCTCCTCGAATTGTATAAAGTAAGTATTTAGAAGCAATGAAGGAATTGGCTATTATTGCTCCAGGTATTATTATACTTTAAGTAATTGAAAATATCAGTTCAAACGGAATAATTTTAATTCACATAATTAAAGAAATCTACACACTTGACTATAGCGAAACCGAAGATGAATTTGAATGCCCGGGAACCGAATGCAAACGCATATGCATTAGACCTGGTTGTTTTATCTACTTGACCATTTTGAGCGACTCTTTCTAAATTTTTGGCGTCTTCTTCGGAAATTTCGATATTATCCTTTCTTTCCACAAAACTCCAAACAAAAAATTTAAATAAATTCAAAAGACCACCAACAATCCAAAGCATTAAAGCAGCTCCCGGTGATTGAACAAGTCTCCAAATGCTACCAGGTGTTATAAAAATCCCTTTTAAAAATTACAAAAGGATAATAAATCATCATAGTATAAAATTTTAAAACTAATAAATTATAGTATAAATCTTATTTACAAACCGGCACCGATTATAAGGTTTATGGATTCGCCTATATTTGATCTTGATGTTAAACTATTATCATTCGCATTAATCGAGTTTTCTCCATTTGTATTAGACACACTCATATTAAAAGTTTACTAAAATATTCGATGAACCAAAAAAAAAAAAAAAAAAAGTTCAATCGATCATTCATCTACAAGATGGTTATTCTTACACGGCTTGATTATTTAATTTAGCTAAATCTAAACGATTTGCAATACGCAAACGATAAATAATTCTTGCGATACGGTTCATTATATAACGATAAATAATAAAATAAATGAGAGAATGAATTCGGACGTATGACATCACTATAATAATAACAAAAATTGGAAGTTATTCTACGTTTTAAAAGAACGATGTACAATTGTATTTTTCAATAAAGCTAAACTTTATGTATTGTATGTATCGCAGCAGTTAACTGTACCCGTTCAATAGTAACACTAGTGTCATAATTAACTTTAATTTCTGATAAGTAGGTACGTACGCAATTGGATTTTTTTTTTTTTTTCTCAAAGTTCTTTTAATAGAAATAAGATAAATATAATTTCAAATCTTTCAATGCCCTTTTTATTTAAATCCTATTTTGATGCATAACTCTAGGTTTTCGGTGAAAATTTTCAATCGACCGGAAGAAAATAAGCCACACTGCCGTATGAAGGTAATACAATATTAATAATGGCGTGAGAATTAACATGCCAGTTCGGAATCAAATCTCCACATTCTAAAACTTGATTTTATCAATTATTATCGTTATCGTTATCGCTCTAAAAATTATTCTATTTTGCCTAATTTGTTATATGATTTCCCTATTTAACGCATACATAGCATACGTATTCACAAGATGGAGATGCTCATGTGATAGTGCTGTACTGTACCTTGACTTAATACACATAATTTTACTGTCATGATTTCGATTGTCTGGGAGTTGTAATTTCATAATTTTGTTTATTTAATATGTACATACGTATTATAACCTGATTATATATTTCCAAACTAAAGTTTGTGTAAAATGCTTATGTTTTTCTATGTTTTATACAAAGAAAGTATGTATGCACTGTACGTACTTAGGCATAACGATAAGTTATAATTATCAATCAAGTAACCAAAGTGTGCATGATCTTCAAACCTTGCACCTAGTTGTATGCATGCACCAAAACCATTAATTAGTGTACCCGGATTTTTTTCAATGACTAACTTGGTGCATACTTAATAAAATCTAAGCCACAAAAATAAATCTGCACCGTATATACTTATATATGTAAAAGATGATATATTGTAATTACGTATTATTTTTTTTTTAGTAGAATGACTGCACAAAAAAATCAATCCTTTGCTATTTTTAGGTAATTAACATATAGAACGTACATTGCTTTGCATCTTTTCTGCCAAGTCAAATAAATAACTATTGACACATATATAAGTACTATATATACATCGGACGTTTTAATTGTTGGAAAGCCATTTGTACAATTGGAACTTTCTATCTATTGCAAATTATCTAAATTTGTCTCAAAAAAAAAAAAAAAAGCTATTTCTGACAATGATATTTAATTATCATTTATATAAGAAATTATTAATTGTAAACAAAAATGATATCGAAAGTTTTGCGATGATTTATAAATGCTAATAAAAGATATTGAATTAATTTTCGCTCTTAATGTCTTAAAACTGCCAGCACAAATTAGTTAACTGTTATGGCTTTAAAATTTTGGCTTGTTCATCCTTACCGCATTGTGTCATGTAATAATGCGGTATGAGCTTTTTTTTAAAATATTTGCACGTTACACCTGATCCTACAAATTTATTGGCTAATTTTAACTGGTGATGATACCTGGCGATAACTTCTTTTAAATTTCTTAGGGATAGACAGGTCCTGGAAAGACTGAATAAGGATCAGTCTTTTAACCAGTCCCACAGTTATTTAGTCTCGGTCTTGAGACTAGTCCGGACCAGTCTTCATAAATAGTTAAAAATATCAAATCACAATTATTAAAAAAAGTATGTTACGTAATTGCTAATTTCGGATTACTAATATCATATGATTTGAGTTTCTCCACTAGCCAATAAAATTGTAAGCATTTTAAATAACCAAGGACCGTTTTTTTAGGACCTAGACTGAACCAAAAACATTAATGGACTGGTCTTATCGATGACTAGGACGGACTGATCCATCCTTATAATTTCTAATTTAAAAATAAAAATGCATCATAATGACAATAAATAATATACTTTTCAATCCAATCATCAAATTTGTCATAATCTTTCTATCTAGCCAATTCCATATCTGTAACAAAGAGCTATTTTAAGAATTACCTGCCTCGGCTGATTTCTGATAATGTATAAATGCCTTATGCTTGTCTATTACAATCCTTATTCCCAGATAATAACAATAACCAACTTTATTCATTCAGTTAGAATTATTTATGTCTACTGATTTTTGATAATTAATGAATGCCTTTTTTTTATCCTTCTCAACTTCAATTCCATATTCGTAACAATAACCAAGCCAGAATATTTTATCCGAATCTTTCATATCTGCCGATTTTTGACAGAGAAATTTAGTTTATTAAAGGCATTGTAATTATAATAATATTATTTGATAATTTCATTTATAATGTACTACGTTAACATTCCTTGACTTTTGCTGTTAATAAAATATTTTATGTTTCATAGATCAGAATAATCAAGTTGTTAGTGAAGTTTAGTTCAACAAATCTTGCAAACCAATTGTTTAGTGAAAGTAATTATATTTGAATTAAATGTAGTGCTGTATTATCGTTATACACTCTGGAGCTTGGATATCTAATTTAATACATATGAGCTGCGTTTTTAAAAAAAAAATTGATTTTTGAAATTACTGGTATATTATATAATTTTGGTCATAATCCAAAAATTTTCAAAATTTTGGCAAATTTATATTTTACACTTTATGTAATAAATGTTTATTTGCACCCCGGTATTGCTGGATAATGAACTTAAATAATTTGAATGACTGGATATTAGTAGGATGAATGGGAAATAAAAATAAACAATAAGTTAACGTTTAAAGGTGAGGCCATTACGGCGCATTTGCGAAATACCCCAAATCTAAAAAAGTTTGACCTTAATAATTAGTAACTTGACTTTTGTGAATTAATTGAATTGAATTAATATTATCTCTTAAACCATTTGAAATTTAGTACAAATTTGTATTAAATTTTACTATAAAAATATTTCTGATCTATTTTTTAAAAAAAATTAAAATATTTAAATAATTTTTTTTTAATAATATTTGAAAATAAGGATTATATTTTTGTAAAATTTATATTTAAATTATAAGACAAAAAATTTAACTTGCTAATAAGTCAAAATATATACGAAATTTAAAAAAAATTTTAACTAAAAAATTAATTTATAATTTTTTTTAATAAACTCTTTAAATATTAATTTTAGATCTATAATTTTTTAATAGAAACTATAGTTTAAATAAAGAATTACAACTTTTATTATTGTAATTTTTGTAATTTATTTGTAAAAATTAAGATTTATATTAAAGATAAATAAATTTTTTATAGATAAAAATATATAAATTTAAAAAATTTAAAAAGGTCTGGTGATCTTAGTGTAGTGGTTAGGTTGCTGAACTACTATACAATTGGTCTAGGATTCAAATCCCACTGTTGACAGAATTGAATAATTACCTAGACATCTGTATCCAATTTATAGTAAACTCTGCTTATTTCTGGGGTTGTAACCCTATAAATCATGTTGTACTAATGCTAATTGGAATATTAGAAGTATGACAGAGCATTTGGGAGAGCATAATATTATACAAATAAATCTTAATAGGATCTATGAGCAGAGGACCTACATGATAGAAATCCTGAGTTAGGTGAAGTAGTACAGATTTAAACAATTATACTAGTTAACATTTAATCTGGAAAAGAAAATCTATGTACAAAAAGATCAGCAACTAAGATATGAGTAAGTCTGTTAGAAAACCTGCATATGAAAAGATCAGTGAAATAGAAGCGCATAAGTTTATTATATGAGATTGTATAGCAATACTAAACTGGCTTAGTGGCTAACTAGATTTGAGAGGATCCATTCTGTATAATATCTGGAGACACAAATGACTTTCAGCAACACCAATCTGAGTAGTAACCAGATTTGGGAGAGCCTATCTTATATGATATCTGGAGTACAGATAACTAACTCAGTGAAAAACTACAGTAGGAACTAGGTTTATATGAACATCGAACAAGAATATATGCAAGCTAGATTGGAATATAGTATAGCATATTTGGGTACCACAATATCTAGTGATTAAGAAGTTGGTGAAAGGGTATCTGAAATAAGCCTAGACTTTGAATCTTAAAGTTTGTGGACACATATCAGCTCTGTTGATGTTTTCCAAAAGGTGAAATAGT